AGCTTCCGCCACCTCCAAAGTTGCTTCCGTCATTACCAAATCCGTCATAGCCATCCCCACCGCCACCATATCCACCTCCACCTCGACTGCCACCAAAGCCACCTCGACCACTGAAGTTCCCTCCACGACCAAAGTTGTCATTCCCACCAAAACCACCTCCACAACCACCACCAAAGTTTCCAGAACCACTTCGACCTCTTTGGCTGGATGAAGCACTAGCCATCTCTTGCTTAGAGAGGGCTTTTCTTACTTCACAGTTGTGGCCGTTCACAGTATGGTATTTTTGAATGACAATCTTGTCTACAGAGTCATGGTCATCAAATTTTACAAAAGCAAAACCTCTCTTTTTGCCACTGCCTCCGTCAGTCATGATCTCGATCACTTCAATTTTCCCATACTGTTCAAAATAATCTCTTAGATGATGTTCTTCAGTGTCTTCTTTAATGCCACCAACAAAAATCTTTTTCACAGTTAAGTGGGCATCAGGTCTTTGAGAATCTTCTCTCGAGACAGCCCTCTTTGGTTCCACAACTCTTCCATCTGCCTTGTGTGGCCTTGCGTTCGTGGCTGCATCCACCTCCTCCACAGTGGCATACGTGACAAACCCAAAGCCTCTGGAGCGCTTGGTGTTTGGATCTCTCATTACCACACGGTCCGTAAGCGTTCCCCATTGCTCAAAATGGCTCCCCATCAGTTGTTTCAAAGCTCAGACCAATGATGAAGAGCTTCCGCAGCTGTTCAGGCTCTTTGGGAGACTCTGACTTAGACATGACGGCGGTGGGAGAGGAGACTTTAACGATGCTTACTCGGCGGCATCCACAGGCAGAAATATTCTTAATTTTTTAAAAGACTTATTTTTAAGTAATCTCTACACCCAGTGTGGGGCTCAAACTCATAACCCCAAGATTAGGAGTCACTTGCTACACCAACTGAGCCAACCAGGTGACCCTGTATTGGGTTCCACACTGAGCATAGAGCCTACTTAAAAAAATTAAAAAATTAAAAGTGCTTATTTTAATTTTTAAGCCTGGTTTCCTGGTCATTGTAGCTTAGCAGTCCAATGCTTAGTAGCATTTTCTTAAATGCCTTGCCTATGTCTCTTCGTCTCTTGCCAAGTAGATCTATGTAAGATGTCATGCCTTTAAGCTTCAGGCAACTTATAAGACTAAGTTATTTTTCATTTCCTGCTTGGACAGGGTCTAAAAGTCAACCAAATCTAGGTGACTTCGGACTTATCCTCTTTCTTGAGCATGTGCATAGCCTTGCTCATGCATAGAATTCTGGATCCCCAGGAACTGATTGGAGCTTTTCAAAGTCTCCAAGGTTATGCCCTGGGGATAAGAGCTTTTTTTTCTGCTAAGCTGAGCTCTGAGTAAAATCTAATAGCCCAACACCCTGAGGATATAGATTTTCTAGGGAGCTGCAAGCTTAGATTAATAATATCTGTTTCTATAATCATATATATGTATTCATGATAGATTATACACACACACACATACAACACACACACACATAATGGATTTTAATGTAAGAGTACAGAGGACTCACTGATATGGTTTCGGATTCTACATTGCAACTAACCTAAAGAAACCTCCACTTGTTAAGTTTTGGTGCCTTACCAAAGAATATCCACACTGATTTTTAAAGACTGTTAATATGTTCCTCTCTTTTTCAACTACTTATCTGTGTGAGTCTAGATTTTCTTCAAAACAACATAGAAAACGCACTGTATGCAGAAGTGGATATGAGAATCCAGTGATCTTCTTTTGAGCCATGCATTAATGAGGTGTACCGTGTAACAAAAATGATATCACTCTTCTCAGTAGCTTTTTTTTTTTAAGATTTTATTTATTTATTAGCGAGAGAGAGAGAGAAAGCACAAGCAGTGGGAGTGGCAGGCAGAGGGAGAAGCAGGCTCCTCGCTGAGCAAGGAGCCCGATGTGGGACTTGATCCCAGGACCCTAGGATCATGACCTGAGCCGAAGGCAGACGCTTAACTGACTGAGCCACCCAGGCATCCCTCTTCTCAGTAGCTTTTAAAAAATATTTTAGAAAATATTGACTGTTCTGGGGCTGGTTCTTTTAACAATGTTCAGGTCTCTTTGTTGACTGCAAGGCTGTTGACTTTTGACTACTATGCCATAGAGCTAAGGAGAGAGGAAGAATAGAAATAATCTGAAGTTAAAATGTCAAAGTCTCTTTTCTCTTACCAAGGTTCAGTGATTTTTCTTGGATAGACAGTTTTCCATTTGTTCTGTGTCTTTGGTTAATTTCTCAATTGATTGATTCTATTTGTTTTGCCCATCATTTTTTGTTTAGTGGGGGAGATAAGTTAAACAGGGTCCTCATTCTATCCTTCTGAAAGCTGATCTCCCAAGTGCTTTACTTTTGCTTGGTCTGTTAGAAATTTGTCATAATCATTGTGCTGCTCCTAAAGCCACACTTGCCTATTTTCAGAACCTCAAAGATAAAAGTTTCCACAGTTTGATGGTAGTTTTGTTGTACACTACATGGTACTCTCACATCCATTGTCCCCCATTGTAGAAAAGCAGCTCAGCAAACCCACTCTGATCACCCAGATGGAACAGGAAGATGAAATGAAAACAGAGACAGGAAATCAAGATACCTGTTCAGGTGAGCAATGGGCATATATGAATGTTTTGTACCACATTTGGTGGGGGTGAGAAAGAGGTACATTATGAAAAGTCAAACAGGAAACTTAAAAAAAAATACGCTTTAAATTTGAGTAGAAAGCAGAGACCATTTGGTATGAGCTTATTCATGTACTTTCAGAATTCTCTAATCTTTGGCTTAGGTTTAACCTATCATTTCATACTTTTTTTTTAATGTTATGTTAGTCACCATACAGTATATCATTAGTTTTTGATGTAGTGTTCCATGATTCATTGTTTGCGTATAACACCCAGTGCTCCATGCAGAACGTGCCCTCTTTAATACCCATCACTGGGCTAACCCATCCTCCCAGTCCCCTCCCCTCTAAAACCCTCAGTTTCCCGGAGTCCATAGTCTCTCATGGTTTGTCTCCCTCTCTGATTTCCCCCTCTTCATTTTTCCTTTCCTTCTCCTAATGTCCTTCATACTTTTCCTATGCTCTGAAAGAAAGACCTGTCTTATGCTTTAATATTTACATCTAGAATCACTGTCTAGTTATTCCCATTTTGTGTGTGTGTGTGTGTGTAGCTATAGCCTTTGCTTATTAACATAATTTTCATTCATGATAGAACCTTCCTTAATAAGTGATATAAAACAGTAAAGCATGTAAATATCATTCTTTTGATCAAGAATGCTTTTTTCTTACACATTGTCTTCCTAAGTTTAGGGTCAATTTGAAGAGAAATCCACATGGACCTTAGTTTTGTCCTTACTCACCATTTCATACTCGAGGTTGCTTCCTGTTTCTGTCAGATTGGGCTTGGGCTTTACCTCCTTGTCAGCATATTGACAAAAACTTACTTTCCCCCAGTTTGTTCAGATGGGATGGTTCTCCTTAAAACCAAACAATCACAACATAAGCAAGATATTTTGGAGAAAGAAGCACTCAGTGGCAAGAAGGTAAGAGTCACATGAGAATTTCTTGCTCTCTGTTAGAAGTCCAGATGTCCATGTAATACTAAGGGGGAAATTTGAGGCACTCATTTTACCAATAGAAAACAGGAAATTCTCTAAATATCATGAATTTGAAGGAAACTTACCCATTAGCTCCAAAAATGGTTGCTGAGAATCCCCAAAGTAAATATTTTCATAATGGAAGTTAGATATTAAATATTGAAAACATTCACTCCAAAGCATTTATGTGTTAAAACTCTAAAGAGACCCTGATTGGAGCAATGTGGTATAAGATTCATCTTATTCAAGCTAATAAACTCAGACAGGAACTGTATATTCACTAAGAAAATGTTAGGTAAGCTCTAATTCTAATAAAGTGCTTGTTTAAACATGTCAGAATTTATGAGTATGGGGGGGGAAGATTCTCAATATAATAATGAGATAAATCTTGTGATCATAACTTACTTTAACCAATAGGAGCAAACTCATGGAGGAAGATCCATTGAACAGAATAACATTGCCTTGAGCATGAAATCTAGCATCACTCAGAATCAGAGAATTCATCCTTGTGAGAATCCCCATCAATGCCTTCATCTTGGGAAAGCCCTCAGAGATTGTTTACACCTTAACCCACATGAGAGCATTCTTTCGGGGGAAAAATCCAATGGCTGTAAAAATGATAAAAATACCTTCATCAGGAGTTCTTTCTTAGCTGTGCATAAGAAGCAACATACAAGAGAGAAGTCCTATGAATGCACTGACTCTAGGAAAGTCTCAAGTTCAATCTTACATTTTACGCATGAAAAAACTTGCATTAGAGAGAAATATTTTCAGTGTAGCCAGTGTGGTAAAGTATTACAGAACCACTCATCCATTGCATTGCACATGAGAACCCACAGTGGAGAAAAACCTTTTAAATGTAACCAGTGTGGGAAAGCCTACAGTTCAAGCTCTTATCTTACACGGCACAAGAGAATTCACACTGGGGAGAAGCCCTATGAATGCCGTGACTGTGGAAAAACCTTCAGAGATAGTTCACTTCTTAGACAACATGAAGGAATTCATTCAAGGGACAAACCCTACAAATGTGATCAGTGCAGCAAAACCTTCAGTAGAAGCTCTAGGCTTACCATGCACAAGATAATACATACCAAAGAGAAGCCCTATGCCTGCAATGATTGTGGGAAAACCTTCAGTATTCTTTCATACCTTACAAGACATAAGAGGGTCCACACTGGTGAGAAGTCCGTTGAGTGTAGCCACTGTGGAAAAGCCTTAAGTAGTCCATCAGCCCTGAAGACACACCTGCGGATACATACTGGAGAGAAACCTTACGAGTGTGATCAATGTGGAAGGACTTTTAGAATGAGCTGTAATCTTAATGTGCACAAGAAAATGCATGCTGGAGAGAAACCGTGTACTTGCAATGACTGTGGGAAAGCCTTCAGGGATCACTCGTGCCTTAAAGAACACATGAGAATTCACACTGGAGAGAAACCCTTTGCATGTAACCAGTGTGGGAAAGCCTTCAGAGTGAAATCTTTCCTCACTTTGCATAAGAAAATTCACATGAAAATGAAACAATATGAGTGTAAGGAGTGTGGGAAAGCCTTCGGTGGTCTCTTATCTCATAGGAGACATATGAAAAAGCACACCAGGGAAAAGAAACCCTTCAAGTGTAATGAGTGTGAAAAGGCTTTTAGGAGGCATGTGTCCCTTACAATACACATAAGAACTCACACTGGAGAGAAACCCTATGAGTGTGATCAATGTGGGAAAACCTTCAGCGTGAGGTGTAATCTAACTGTGCACAAGAGAGTCCATACTGGTGAAAAGCCCTATCAATGCAGTGTCTGTGGACACGCTTTCAGTAAGCTCTCCTCCCTTCGGCGGCATCACGAGAGCACTCATGCTGAATAAAACTCCTAGTAAATGTCCATGTGCAATAGTTTTCAGTGAACTCTCAATCTTGAAGGCATACAAGCAAATGCTAACTGCAGAGGAGAACTGGATGTAAAGAATGGGAGAGATCTGTGGGAGAAATATAAGTTATGCAATGACTGTGATAAATCCTTTATTCATCCCCTAGATAGGTGACCATTTGACACCGAAAGTAAAAACCTTTAGTGTCTTCAAGACTTGTTTCTTGAGAAAAATAAACACCTAATGTTTTAAGCCACCATGTTTACAGTGTGTGTGTTGGGAGGGAGGTTTTATTCACAAATGACTGTCACTAACCAATATAACCTATGTCAGGTTTTTAGAAATTTATATATATAATTTAAAAATTGAACTGCTACTGGGGTACCAGGGTGGAGGTTACCTATATTAACTATTACACACACTGGTCAAGAAGTAGAACATTTTCAGCACTTAGAATCCTCCTTCAGTGCTTCCTTTTCACTCATAGTCACCCTGATTCTTGCCACCAGAACATGTGTACTGTATGGATCCAATGTATTTTTAAAAAGATTTTTTTAAGTAATCTCTGCACACAATATGGGGCTCGAACTCACAACCCCGAGATCAAGAGTCACATGTTCCATTGACTGAGCTGACCAGGTGCCCCTAGAATCATACATTTTTAACAGCTTTATTGAGATATAATTCACATGTCATAAAGTATAAAATTCAGTGGTTTTCAGTATGTTTACAGAGTTACATGCACAATTATACCTGATGTGTTACCATTGTATCTGGATTCTGCTCAACTCTATTTGTGAGATTCATCTATGTTCTTCCTTTAGCAGAGTTTTATTCTCATTGGTATATAGCTTTCCATTTTATGAATATGCACAATTCATAAAACTGTTCTGGACATTTGAGTTGTTTATAATTGGAGTTTTTTTTTTTTAGGATTTTATTTATTTGAGAGAGAGGGCGAGAGAGAGCATACAAGCAGGGAGGGACAAAGGGAGAGGGAGAAGCGGACTCCCTGCTGAGCAGAGAACCTGATGTGGGGCTCTATCCCAGGACCCTGAGATCATGACCCCAGCTGAATGTAGGTGCTTAACTGACTGAGCCACTCAGGAGCCCTATAGTCATAAGTAGTTCTGCCATGAACATTCTTGTACATGTTTTAGTTCACAGCTGTATGTATTTTTGTAGGGTCTATATTTTAGGAGTGCGGTCTGGGTCATAGGGAATACACATGGCCATGTTTATTCAACACTACCAAACGGTTTTACAAAGTAGTTGTTCCAATATGCATATCTGCTCTCTTGGTAATACTTTACACTGTCTTTTTCATTTTGGCGGTTTTGATGTGTATGTTGTAGGACCATATTTTGATTTTTAAATTTTTAAAAACTTTTCATTTTGAACCAGTTTTGCACTTAACTAGAACAGTTTGTACAGAGTCCTGTATATCCCTGTTTCCCAAGGTTAATGCAATTTATCACCTGCTTCCTTCTGGTTAGTGCTTTTTTGGTGTGTGATCTCTAAGATTGCTAGTTTTGATGTCGATTTTCCAGACAACCTCCAAAAGCCTGACCAAGTAACTAGTAAATTGGTTTCTTTACATGCACTCTTTCCTATTATAGTACTTACCTCATTCATTAAGAGACTTTAAAGAAAAATTTCTTAGAGTGACTTTGTGGAGATGCTCCCATGATACATGCTCTGCATCCCCAATCTCTTCCCTATGGGGACTTAAACACCACTTTGCTTCTCTTATTCTTCCAGTGATAATCTCTGCCCCAGAGAACGCTGGGAATTGGTCTAATGAGAAGCTCATCAATTCTCTTAAGGTCAGACCGAAGAAATTCAAGAATGAGATTCCCTGTCTGGAGGTGAGAGGAAACATGGGAAGAGAATGATGTATACCTGTCCTCTCAGGATCAGGAAATCTGGTCCTCCATGAGTCCTTTCTATGAGCTGTTCTCCTTAAGGATTTGAAATGCCTTGGGGAAGAAACGACAGTACATATTTGGCTAATGAGGAGCTTTGGAAATTGAGCTCCCAGGGCCACAGAGATTACAGAGTCTATCTGTGACCACTCCTGTCAAAGACCTGTTCATGTCAGGAAACACACCTGAGTCTCCTGAGATGCTCCCTCTTGCCCTGGGGAGCTCAATTGCCTTACTTGGTCCCTCTGCCCTTCCTGGGGACAGATTTCCCATCTCTACCCTTCAATATCTAGAGGAAAGGTGAATTACTCATTGGTGACTTCAAGTAATCTGATTTGCCCTACTAAATGCTGTGAGAAATTGAACAGTTTTTGTTTTTTGTTTTTTTTAAATCAGCCTATCTGGAGGACATCCAAGAGGTAAGAGAAAGTTTGGTAAGTTTGTTACATTGAATTTGCAGTCAGCTTTCATTTCCCGCTATTACTCTGCCTTTTAAATTCCAGGGACTCTTTCCCTACCTGAACATGAATTAGCCCCTTCAGAAATTGGACAGAGAGGGGTGCCTGGGTGGCTCAGTCGGTTATGCATCTGCCTTCGGCTCAGATCATGGTCCCAGGGTCCTGAGATTGAGTCCTGCATCGGGCTCCCTGCTCAGTGGGGAACTTGCTTCTCCCTCTGCCATTCCTCCTGCTGGTGCTCGCTGTCTGTCAAATAAATAAATAAAATCTTAAAAAAAATTGGACAGATAATTCTACAATTCTCTGGTTTCCCTCATTTTGGGGGGCTGTGAATGGGACTAGATGGGCGAGTTTGGCTTCTCAATTTTCCCATATTTGGTTCCAGCTTTTATCTCAGAGAACTCAAGTCTTGTTCCTACTTCTTATCCGTAAGGACCTTGAGAGAGGAGGTTGAGACCCATTAGTCTACCTTTCCAGTCTTTCTCTGAAAATCCCCAAAGAAAATAGAGAATATTTAAAGCCATCAGAACAGCACAGTGAGCAGTAAAATAAATAGCCATGCAACCACTTTGCAGAATTAGTGCTGACATTTTGGCCATATTATCTTCAGATATTTTCTTTCAAAATAATAAAGTATTACGTACACATTATATATTACCATTATATTTTAAACTGAGTATCAGATCCAAATCCCACAGAGAAAGGCCTTTCTTTGCCTTCAGACAGGGATAACTATATATCATCATGGACAAATCCTCTATATCCCCTCCTCCCCTCCCAGAGGTTACCACCCTGGAATTGGTGGATATTGGCCATGGATAGTTTAACACTATTAGTACATGTGAACATGTCTGATAAATCTCTACTATAGAAAAAATTGTAATTAACCCAAAGGCCCACTGATGAGAGAATGTATGTTAAAATTAATAAACCAGATCTTCTTGTGTCAATCTTGATAAATAGAGAAAAGATAATGTAAAGCCAAAAAAAGTTGCTGAATTGAATAATGTACTATGTATAACAAATATGAGCATGTAACATAAGCATAGAATGTTTATGGCTACATTATTACTCAGGTGAAACATTTCAGGGGAATGAAAGCATGGAAAATTCCCTCTGAGAGGGAAGGTCACTATTGAGATTGTGTACAAATATGCTGGGGTTTCAAGGCGATTTCCATTGTTTTATTAATAAAACTGGGGCAAGCTTGGCACAGTATCAAATTTAGTCATGCTGGCTGGTGGGCTTAAGCCCTTCATTGTCTTTTTGTACTTTTGGGGGTACTTAAATTGAACATTAAACATGAAACAATTATTTTTTTTTAAAGATTTTATTTATTTGAGAGAGAGAAGGAGAGAGACAGAGAGAGCACATGAGAGGGGGGAGGGTCAGAAGGAGAAGCAGACTCCCCGCTGAGCAGGGAGCCCGACGCGGGACTCGATCCCAGGACTCCAGGATCATGACCTGAGCCGAAGGCAGTCGCTTAACCAACTGAGCCACCCGGGCGCCCATGAAACAATTATTTTAAGGAGTATTTATAATTACATAAACTCCATCATGCTATAGCTATCATATAAATTGCTTTTCTCCTTTAATAATTTTTGGTTTAATTTTATACAGCAAGAAATAATGTAAATATTTAGACTTTGCATATTTAAAACATTTAAGAAATTAAGGATGATATAATAGTATAAAAATACTAAAATAACATGGTGTACCATGACTATGCCATAACTTATGAATGTATTCCCATACTGGTGTTTGTTTAGGTTATTTCCTTTCTCTATTTCATTATACTGAGGGCTCCCAGTGGAGATTTGAGTACATCCCTTTCAGCCCTGAGATCATATTCTTGGGGTGCCTTCCCTCCTTGCCTCTTTCATTCTGTCTCACTCTCAGCTTCCCTTCTAGACATTAGGACTGTCCAGAGCTAAAACCAAAAATGATAGGAAAAGTCATTGCAAGGCCCCACTGTGCTTGGTGCTTTTCATTTTTCATCAGTGTAATACCTGTGTGTGTGTGTGTGTGTGTGTGTGTGTGTGTGTGTATGTCTATGTGTGGGTGTATATATTAATTTAACTGTATTATGTTAGTCACCATACAATACATCATTAGTGTTTGATGTATTACCTTTGTATATTTTATAGTAGTTGCCATTATACAAATGAGAAAATTGGGATGCCTGGGTGGCTCAGTCAAGCACCTGTCTTCAGCTCAGGTCACAATCTTAGGGTCCTGGGATTGGGTCCCACGTTGCGCTCCTTGCTCTGTGGGGAGGTTGCTTCTCCCTCTGTCTGCTTCTTCCCCTGCTTGTGCTCTCTCTCTCTCTGACAAAATCTTTTTAAAAAAAATGAAAATTGAATCTGCTCAGAGAGGTTCAGGGACCTTCTCATGTCACAGATCCATGTTGCAATTGGGGGATTCATGATTAAACCAAGGAGTGTCTGTGTTCAAGCCTTACCCCTAGATGGTTTTTATGATCCCTTGTCTTTCTCCAGGAAAAAAGTCAACTCTGCTCAGGGCCTCAATTTGTGAAGCAAAGGGCTCACATTAGGTGGGCTCACTGTACACATCTTGTGATTCTATCATATGTTTGAGATATTGTTTTTTTTTT